TAAACTGTGACTGTGGGATTGGGGTGGAGGCGCAAACAGAGGTTGTATAAGGCACTGTATCAAGGCTGCCTGCCTGTCAGGAGTGTCTGCTTTATTCAGTGGTAAATGCGAATTATTTTTCATTCTGTAGCGAATACTACAGGGCAGCAGCCATGCCCTCTTTATCCTTGCTGGCTCAGGTATCCACCCTCTGTGTGGCTAAGGGTAAACTGTGTCTCTTTTGAGAAAATCTTGGGAGCTCCATTTCTCTTTCCAACGATTGGCTTCAAACAAGCTCAAGTCAATGAGTCCCAACGGGAAGCCTGCTGGGGGTTGTCTGGCCAAGGTTTTCTCACTCCTGCAGGAACATAAACAGGAAGTGCTCCTTTTTCCCTGGCGGATGTTGCGTTCCCTGTCTGGATGCAATGCCTGGTGCTCCACAGCCCTTTGCACCCACGAGAGAGGTGGCCGGAAGAGCATCTTCACTCTGGCCGCCTGGGAAGATGAGAAGAGCAGGAGTCCTCGGCACAATCAGACAATTCACCAAAATCCTGCTGCCCTCACCTGGAATTTCCTGCTATGAGAGATGTCTTCATTTAAACCACATGAGCTGGATTTTCTAACACATGTCAGCATCTTCGTGGTAAATCTAAGGAAAAAAAAATCAGAACTATTAAAAAACAAAGTCCAACTCACCCCGTGCTATGGTTTGAAAGTGTCCTCCCAAATTCCCATGTGGAAATCTAATCCCAAATACCTAATCACTAATCCCAAATACTAAGAGGTGGGGGCCTTGGGAGGTGATTAGGAATGGGATTAGTGCCCTTTAAAACAGGTTTTTGGGAGCCTGCTTGCCCTTTCTGCCATATGAAGACGCTTAGAAGAGGCCTTCTATGAGGGAGAGAACTTTTCTCAGATGCCAGATCTGCTGGGACCTTGATCTTGGATTTCTCAGCCTTCAGAACTGTGGGAGGCAAACTTCTGTGTGTATGAATAGCCATCTAAAGGATTTTGTTACAGCAGCCTGAGCAGACTAAGACACTCTGTGAGTCAGTTATTTTTGGCTGTGTCACGAGTGACCGCGAGTGCAGGAGCTGAAACAACAGTGAGTGTGTTACCATCTCTCGGGACCCTGTGGAATTGGCGAGATGGTGCTTCTGCTCCACCTGGTGTTGGCTGGGATTCTCCTGCAGCTGCATTCTTCTGGGGGCTCAGCTGGGGCTGGAAGATTCCTGTGGCTCTAATCACATAGCTGAGATCTTAGCTGGGGTGATAAAACACTGGGGACAGGCGGGCCCTGCTGTCTGTCTCTCTGGCTTCTCATCATTCAATGGTCTAGCCTGAGTGTTTACATGGCAACCCAGGAGGGTCAGTGTGGACACTATACAGCCTGTAAGGCCTGGCTTTGGAAGTCCGAGAATATGACTTCTACCTTGTTCTGTTGGTGAATATAAATTCCAAGTCCACTAGATTCAAGAGATAAGGACATAGATTTCACTTCTTAATGGGAGGATCCCATGTACAACAGGGATCCTTATGAGGGATTATGAGAACTCCTCCTAATCCTTATGAGGGATTATCATACAGGGAATTTATGGGGGATTATCTTTGGAAATAATCTACCATAGACTGACTAAACGATAATGTAATGTGTTGGTGCCCATCACAGTGACTTCGAAAGTGAAATGACTGCCAAAAACTCCACGGCCTCCAAGTTTCTTCCTTCACATCCAAGCAAGAGAGACTTCACAGTGATGGACCAGCTAAGTCATGTGCCCACTCCTGGCCAGTCCATCGTGCGGGTAGCAGAGTCCCTGAGATGATCGGCTTAGGCCCGAGGTCAGTGCACATCACCAAACTAGTAAGTGTCCAGGGTGAATGAAATTGTCTTAGCCTCAGGTAACCAGGACCTACCCCTGACCCACTACCAGCACAGCTGCTTCACAGTGCTAGAGGGATGGAATGAATGAGGAGGAGGTAACAGTTAGGAGGCCAACCCCAAGACTTGAAATTGTGGGTTTGCAAATGGGTGCTTCAGGCGACACCCTGGCCACACCCTCACCTACACACAGACTTATAAACACCCATCCTCCGTTCCTCCCTCCGCCTTTCTTTCCAAAGAAATCTTGGATTCATTGGCCCTTAAGTGAAAAAAACTGGAGGGAAATAAGGGCGTGGGGGCAAAAAAATGAGGTCTTCCTGTAAAGACAGTTCAAAAGAATTATTGCACCGAGACCCGAAACGACAAACCTAAAGCCAGAACTGATTGCTGTAGACACAGAACCAGGAAGTGTGAATTTTTAATGGGTGTCATTTTGGTGCTAGAAAGAGCTGTTACCTGAAGGTAGTGACTCAAGCTGGGCCTCCGAGGGCAAACAGCCTTGCTCCTCCAAATTATTGGCCCATGCTGTCCACGCGTCTCTTGAGTTGCTATCCCCACAGGTCCAGAATTACGTAGGTGACCATCTCCCCAGGGATTGGTCCTAAAGTTCTTTTTTTTTTTTTTTTTTTTTTGAGACAGAGTCTTGCTTTTTTTCCCCAGGCTGGAGAGCAATGGTGCAATCTCAGCTCAATGCAACCTCCGCTCCCCAGGTTCAGGCGATTCTACTGCCTCAGCCTCCCCAGTAGCTGGGATTACAGGCACCCGCCACCACACCTGGCTAATTTTTGTATTTTTTATTTTTGATAGAGATGGGGTTTTGCCATGTTGCGCAGGCTGATCTTGAACTCCTGACCTCAGGTGATCCACCTGCCTCGGCCTCCCAAAGTGCTGGGATTACAGGCGTGAGCCACCATGCCCAGCCCCTAGAGTTCTTCAATGGCAGAAACTTCACTTTCTGCCCCTCCACAGGCCGTTCTCTAACCTCCCTGGTCCCTTGTTCTGGAATCTTCTGCCCCACCCCGTGTTTGGCCCCTTCTTAGTCACTCTCAGATGCCATCTCTCCCTACACCTGCCTGGGTTCCGGCTTGGTTATCATTAATCACTCCCCCCTTAGCATTCCTAATGGCACCACTTAGTAAAGCTTAGTTGTTTTTCCACAGCAGTATTTCTAAACCCTGGTTATAGATTAAACTCACTTAGGGAATTTTTTTTTAACCAATAGCGCTTCCCCAGGCTGGGCATGGTGGCTCACAACTGTACTTGCAGCACTTTGAGAGGCCAAGGTGGGACGATTAGGCAACCTAGCAAGACCCCATCTCTACAAAAAAACACACAAAAAATAAAATTAGCTGGGTATGGTGGCCCACACCTGTAGTCCCAGCTACTCAGGAAGCTGAGGTAGGAGGATTGCTTGAGCCCAAGAGGCTGAGGCTGCAATGAGTTCTGATCATGCCACTGCACTGCAGCCTGGGTGACAGAGTGAGACTGTCTCAAATAATACTACTAATAAAATACTACTTCCCCAGGCAGTGTTTCTCCCAGACACTTTGACTCAGTTGGTTTGGAGTGGGATTCAAGCTTTTGTAAAAAGCTCCCAGCGTAGCAGGTTTCAGACTCATTCATCTAAATGTCTGTCTCCCACCTGAATGTGAACCGGTTGGATGATCAGTTACCATCAGTTATCAGTCTTTCTCTCCTTAGGCATAGCGTGGTGCTCAACAGATGCTAAAAGAATTAGTTATACATAAACCACTATTTTAGCCGATGAGCATTAACAGAATAAAGGAAGAGCGTAAGGCGTGAGCACTCGCAGAGTGAAAAGTGCCCCGGGCAAGGCCATGCATCCCGCATGACTCCTGTCACTGTGAAGGAGAGCTGTGGAGAATGAGGTCCTGCTCAGAAGCCCCCTGATATCATCTGCTATGCTCTGCCAGGTCATTTGTCCTGGAACGTGATGTAGAACATTGTCTCCTGTTCCAGGAAAGGGCCGCGTATGCAACACGGCCCCCAAATGCCAAAGGAGCCGAGAAACCAAGGAATAAGCCAGATCAATCACATTTGTTAGTAAAGGGTGTTTTATTGGGGGAATTTATAGACAGAAGCATGGTCTTGGGTGGCTGGAGGATAGGTAGGTCTCTGTACCTGTCACCCCAGACCCAGGGCTTCTGTGCCCTAGGGAAGAGGTGTAAGTGCTCTTTGCAAGACAATTAAAGGCAGCCCTTCAGAACAGGCAGAGTGGTAGGTGTGTCATGGCCCATAATCTGTGTAATCACATCAAGGCTGACATGTTCACACACTAGGGACAGGAAATCACATAGGAATTGGGAGGCGCTCAGGAGACTGGCGCTGGTCTGAAGTCAGCATGGTGGATCAGCACCCAAGATGGAGTTGCCACTGACTGGACCCACATCTCCCCGGGCCCAGGAGGAGTTTGCGGGGCAGGGCCTCTGATTATTTTTGAAAATCTAGTTTAATTTGGTCATTACATTGGTGTCAAAAATGGAGTACATTAAATTTCATTGTACTTCTTAATAAAAAATGAATAGCATGAGTGCCAATCTCAAAGCATAACAACATTTAATCTTCCACACAATGCTGGTATGAGCTCTGCCATGAAAACTTGCACCGCATCCCGGGATTCCAGGACGTGCCTGGGTTTAGCTGTCAGGGGATCTCCTATTTGTCACTTTCACACCCATCCTGAGACGCCATGCTTCTTGAATTCTGCACCTTTGAGACTTTTGTCTCCTCTGTCACTTGAAGTCTTTTTCTTCTTAAAGTTTCTTCCTTCAGGTGTTCAGATGCAGGTCAGGAGCGAGACTGGATGAGCATGGTCTCCAGGTCTTTTCTCCTCAACAATGAGCGATCATCGGCTCAGTTTCACGCCTAACAATGGGTAATCGTGCAAAGTGGTTGCTTGTCCCAAAGCGAGCCTAATCAGGATTAATTTTGCTTCTCAATATCCCATTTACTTTTTATTTCTCAGTGAGAATACAGGAAAGGAAAATATGCTAAGAATTCTTCTCTTATTTATTTTGTACACTCCCTTCTCCTTTGTTCTATTTCTCTAAAGGATCAATGATTTTAATTCCAGTTTTCTTCCAGAAAAAAACAACTAAGTTCCTCGTAGTTCTTAAAATTACCAATAAAGTAGTGAAAGCAATTTGTTGGAATCCTTTGTCTGAACAGTAACTTTAACATAGACTATTACAGCTCCTCTCCAACAAAGTAAAGATGATAGGGTATCTGAAATAAGAGGTGGATGATAATTAGAAATTTAGCATTAGTCAAAGTAATTTGCACCTTTGCTCAAGCAAGTTGCTTGAATATTACATAACATCACTTTAATGAATGTTCAACTTATGAAAACCAAACTTTTTACTTTTAAAGGTAAAACTAAACTGTTTGCTTTCTAGAAAACTGAAAACTCACCCCTTTAGTCTTGCTGTGTCCCCAGGCTGGAGGGCAATGATGCGGTCTCGGCTCATTGCAACCTCTGCCTCCCAGGTTCAAGCAGTTCTCCTGCCTCAGCCTCCTGAGTAGCTGGGATTACAGGCGCCCGCCTCCACGCCTGGCTAATTTTTGTATTTTTAGTAGAGACAGGGTTTCACCATGTTGGGCAGGCTGATCTCGAATTCCTGACCTCATGATCCGCCCACCTCAGCCTCCCAAAGTGCTGGGATTACAGGCGTGAGGCACCGCACCCGGCCACCCCTTCACTTTTTCAAACAGAAAGATAAAATGGTTTCTCTTAAAATATTTTTCAGCTATTGTAACTTATAAGAATACTTAAATATTCTTAGACAACTGGAAATTAGCTCAGTCTGCTCAAAAAGCCAAAAAAGTGTGTAAAAAATGTAATGGTTTTGTATGCTACTAAGTGAAGCCAGCCTAAAGGGGCAAATACTGTAAGATTCCACTGATATGAGGTCCCCAGAAAGGTAAAATTCATAGAGACAGAAAGTATGATAGAATGGGGCTAGAAGCCCCTTGACAGGGACTGGGGTAAGGAAGGATTGGACAGTAAGTATTTAATGGGGACAGAGTTTCAGTTTGGAACGATATAAAAGTCCTGGAATGGATGGCAGTGCTTGTACCACAGTGTGAATGTCTGATACTTCATGCCACTGAACCGTGCACTTAAAATGGTTAAAATTTAAAAAAGAAAAAGAAAAAAATAGTGTTTCCAGAACCAGAGATAACTTTTTATGTTAATATTCAATTATTCTGAGTTCCATTTCAGAAGACAGAGCTCATGAAGAAGAAAGCTCTTAAAAAAGAAAACCAGTCAGGAGTTCAAGACCAGCCTGATCAACATAGTGAAACCGTGTCTCTACTAAAAGTACATATATATATATATATATTTTTTTTTTTTAGCCGGGTGTGGTAGCATGTACCTGTAATCCCAGTTACTCAGGAGGCTAAGGCATGAGAATGTCTTGAACCTGAGAGGCAGAGGTTTCAGTGAGCCAAGATCACCCCACTGCACTCCGGCCTGGGCGACAGAGCGAGACTCTGTCTCAAAAAAAAAAAAACAAAAAAAAAACACAGCCAGGCATGGTAGCTCACATCTGAAATCCCAGCGCTTTGCAAGGCCAAGGCAGGCAGATCACTTGAGCCCAGGAATTTGAAACCAGCCTCGGCAGCATAGGAAGACCCTGGTCTCTACAAAAAATAAAAAATTAGTTGGACATGTTGGCTCACACCTGTGGTGCCCGCTATGCAGCAGGCTGAGGTGGGAGGATCACCTGAGCCCAGAAGGTTGAGGCTGCAGTGAGCTGTGATCGTGCCACTGCACTCCAGCCTGGGCTACAGAGCAAGACCCTGTCTCAACAACAAAAACAAAACAACATCGATGAGACCAGTTTCTGCCTTAGTGACACACGTGAAGAAAAACTCTGATGCCGCCGTGGTTGTGTTGGCAGCTCACAACTTCACCACGTTGAATGTCGTCATACAGGCTGCACCAGTGCATGCTTCAGCTTGGATCACTTTAAGGAGGAGATGGAAGCTGAGGCTGGAGACCTGGCCATGTGCCAGGAATCTCACACCCACCCCTGTGTACTTCTGTAAACGGACGGCAGCATGAGTGCGGGGCTCCACTGCTCCGGTTTTTCTGATGAGGAAACCTAAGTCCAAAATCCCACTACTTGAAGACAGTGAAGGCAGGAATCATCCCCGGGCCAGCTAGATCCCAAGGCCACCACAGGCTTGTGGCTGGATCACCTGTCTCCTAATCACGGCCATTCCCAGCCCCGTCCCTGCAGTCTGCTGGCCTGACCCACCGCAGGACAGCTGGAACCCACAGTGGGTGTCGTTGGTCTGTGGCACACACCTGCTTCTCCCTCACTCCCCCACTTCCCCCCCAAGGCCCATCTTGCTAAGGTGGAACGAAGGAATTGAAAACACCGGCTCTGCAGGCAGGGGCGTGCACGGTGCATCCTGCAGCAATGCCTTAGCCTGCCGAGGCCCCTGCTTGCCTGTCTGTCAACTGGGCACAATCACGCCACCTCCTTTTTGGATCCACAGAAAACGACTTTGCCTGAGGCCAGGCACTAGGGGCCACCTTCCCCACGCACACTCCTCTTACCCATCCTGCTGGGTCTCCCTGATTTTCCCGCCTCGTCCAGGGTCCAGGTCCACCTCTTCCTCCAGCCGAAGGGAAGATGGTCTGGTGGGCGTGGTTAGTATCAGGGAGCAGAGAGACCCCAGCTGAATGACAGAATCTGTATAAAGTGGCCGGCAGGCTGCCCAGTGCACAGTCTGCTCAGCAAGGGTTTTTCCTTACTGCTTGGTCCCCGCCGTCGGATGCACAGAACCCGTGTTCTCCTGGTCGCTGCAGTCCAGCGGCAGGTTCCTGATAGCTCACACCCCCGCTGAGGTTCCACGCGGCTCGGATCAGCGGCTCATCACAGGGTGCATCACAGGGCCCTCCCTCCAGACCTGCTGGGTCCATCTTCAGGAAAGAGGCCCAGGCACGTGTATCTTTCAGAGGCTGACACCCTGGGTAAGAGTCTCTGTGTTGAGCAACCCAGGACGCCTCTGGTGAGTTCATCCTAACAAGGTCCCGGGATGCACGGATATTCAGGACCACCTGGAGATAGGCCTCAAACCTGGGTTCAGCTCTCAGACCACTCGAGACTGCTGCAGGAGGCTCTCATCTTCTTTGTAGATAATATTTCAATGGGTCAGAAATAACCTTCTGATTGGGAATGGAAGAAGAAAGGCATCGAATGGTTGGTTTTCTTCTGTGTGATCCTACAGGGGTACACCAAGAGTTTATTTTCTGTATTACAATGAAACTTTGTGAAAACTTTAATGTTAGCCAAAGAAATGCATTTGCCATTTTTTTTTTTTTTTTTTAATTGGAGTCTCACTGTGTCACTCAGGCTAGAATGCAGTGGCATGATCTCAGCTCACTGCAATCTCCACTTCCTGGGTTTAAGTGATTCTCCTGC